AGGTGGGGGGGTGGGACCAGCCGTGGGCTGCCCACCAGCCTGGCACAGAGGCGCTTGCCTTCTTTCGCCTGGCACGGCAAGGAGAGGGAATCTGACTGTGCTCTATAAATACCACAGGGCATGGGGGTACACAGATGGGCTATTTAAGCTGAAGGTCAGGGGGGCACAGACCCACGTGGGTACTGGTAAGTGCCAACTGAGTTTACACTGGAAAGGACAGGGTGGCCACCAAGGAAGAGACTCCCCAAAACAGCCACCCCCGGTCAATGCGGGCGCTCGCTCGGTGCGGGGCAGGTGGACGCAACGCCTGCCGGTACCAGGCCTGCACCGAGGTCTTTCCCAGCCGTGCTCCCCTCCCCTGGGGAAGGGCCGGGCTGCCTGGGCACGGTGGCCACACAGCAGCACTGAGGCCACAAAGGAAGCCCCAGCCTCCTTGCCTGCAGTGGACAGCAGGGCAAGCCTCTCGGCGCAGCCACCCGCCCTGGTCCCTGACCCAGGCTGGAGGAGCTCTGCTGGGCAAGCGCCAGCTCGGTCCCTGCCCGCTGCCAGCGCCTGCACCCGCTCCTCTGCCAGCAGCGTGCCTGGGTCACCGCAGGCATGGGCCACCCCTCGCCCCCCGACCCAGCGGCTGGCGCCCCCCCCCAAAAAAAGCCCGCGTGCCGTGCTCACCGCTGGCAGGGGCCACCCCCCGCCCCCCGCCCCGGCGGCTGCCGCATCCTCCCGCGTGCCAGGCCCTTCGCTGCTCTGCGCGCGTCTGCGGTGTAATTTGGGTGCAACCAAGCCGGAGAGCCGCACGCCGACTCCAGCCCCGTGGCTCTAGGCGCGGGGAACGGTTACTGGTTCAGTGGGCTCCAGCCTTTTCCATTCACGTGCTGATGAATCACTTGACAAAAATGCAGCCCAATTCTAGGCGGATTTGTTCTGAACAGTGCGGCTTTGTGGAGGGGACGGCTGTGCTGCGCTTTCCCCGCCAAGACCCCAGCAATGCAGCCAAGCTGCTCTGCGCCAGCCAGGAACCGGAGCGGCGAGGAGGGTGAGCCACAGGGATCGCGGAGGGGAGCCCTGGAGGAGACCCTGGCTGCGATCCTCGGGATGAGGAGGCAGGGCTGAGGGACAGAGGAAACCCCCGGGTGCTCAGAGACGGGCAGTCGGACCTACCCAAACGCCAATATCCCCGTTGGCTGCGTCACCCACCACTCCTGCCATCGGCCTGGATGGCCACCAGCCGCGGGAACCCAGACCCTCCGTGAAGCTGAGCCGAGGCTCTCCCAGCTCCCTGGGCACATGGCAGGCGCAGCGTGCCGCCAGCACGGGATGACCAAGTCCGACCAGGGCAATGCTGGCAATGCTCCTGCCCCAGGCAGGACAAGCCGCAGCAAGACGATGCACCGCGGGGCCACCCCCTCCCAGCAGGGTGGGAGTCCCACCGGTGACAACCCCTGTGCTGGCCCCAGGGGCTGCAAGCTGTGGCCACCCCATAATGAAGACCCTGGAGCCCTCCAGGGGCAGACCCCCTGTGAGGCAGCAGGTCCCCTCACTGCCTGCTGCCACCAGGGTCAGTCCCACCGCCCTGGCAGGCCAGGGGACTTCACCCCCATGCCAGCGCTGCCGGCTGGCCACTTTCTGCCTCCGTGCTGGCAGAAATACCAGTGTTCGCCTTTAACTCCGCACAGAAGCTGCTGCACGAGCAGGGCTGCACTCGCAGCTGGGGCCTCCGGAGCCCCCCGGCCCCTGCCCACTGAGCGGGGCTGCCCATTTGCATCCACTGCCTCAGGGGACTGGGGGCTGTGGCCGGTTCCTTACTGCAGCTGCCTCGGCATGGCCCGTGGCTGCCGGCTGTCTCCCAGCACCGCTCCTCGCTGCCCTGTCCTCCTGCCCACGGTGGGATGCAGGAATGGGCACAAGGGCAGGCAGGGAGAGGAGCATCTCCCCCCAGCTGCAGAGGGATGGGGGTCCGTGGGGAGCTGGCGGGAGGTGGTGACTTCCCACCCTGACCAGCCAGGGCTGCCTGAGGCCAAGCAGTCCATGGCACCCCGCAGCAGAGCAGTCCCCATGCCATGGTGAGCAGCGGTGCCATGAGGAAGGGCCTCACGCTGGGGCCCAGCCGACCCTGCACCACCCCTCCCAGCTGGGCGATGAGCATGCAGCCAACTGGGACAGACTGGGGCTGCGGTGCAGCTCCAGAAGCAAAGCTGGGGGCAAATAGAGTCACCCTGCGCCACAAACCCACCGGGATGTCTCTCTGGGCTTGCCAGCCAGCAGGATGCTGCCCTCCCTGGCCCCTGCTGTGGGGCTGCCCCACCTCAGGGGCTGCACCCCGTGTTTCTGGCTGCTGAGCAGGGGGTTCCTGGTGTGGACAGATGCCATTGCAGCAGGAGCCACTGTGGGCAACCGGTGGGGAGATGCTGTGAGACCCGGTGGGGAGATGCAGCAGCCCCAGGTTCTCCCTGGGGAAGGAAGAAAGGGGGTTTGGAAGTGGTGACCTGCCCTGGTGAGACCTGCCAAGAGGGGAAGCTGTGTGGGTGCTGCCCCGCAGCCAGGGTGGATTCTGCCATGGCCCAGGCCAGCTCAGGGGAGCTGCTGAAAAGCGCCTGCCTGCGTGTGCCCCATGGGCAGAGCGGCAGCACAAGGAGCCTGGGCCCCGGGACTCCCCTCCTGGCCAGAGATGTGCCGAATGGCTGCCCCTTCCTCCTCCATCCCACCCCAGACCCCACTGCATGGCCCCAGCAGCACCCACCCGCGGCTGCCTGGGAAGGCCGGTGCCCGCAGACCGTGGGGGCCGCTGCCAGGCTGAATGGGCAGGGAACAAAGCTCCCTTCTCCGGGGCTGCTGGCAGCCGGCTGAGCGAAGGGCCTGGCTGCCAGTGCCAGCACTGCCCGCTGCCTACCTGGCACTGCCAGCCTGGGCGCCCGTCCCCACAGCGGGGGCAGCCCCAGGGTCACTCCAACCCCACTCGAAGACAGCAGAGATGGACAGCCAGCAAACCACCCCCAGGAGGGACTCAGCCCCAGCCCTGCCTGGCACGCAGGCACCAACCAGCCCCCAGGTGCCTGCCTGCACCCCGGCAGCCGTGGGGGCAACGGAGCGGGGCACTGCCACCCCGGCGCAGTGGCAGGGTGTTTTTGGGGATGTGGAGACTGGAGGGATGCAGAGCTGAGCACGGCAGCCCCGCGGTGAGAAGCTGTGGAGGCCATGGGGGCTCCCTGGGTGCATGGCAGCGCCCATGGGGAGGCAGGAGGCAGCGTCTGGGTGCCAGGCCCCGCTCGCCCACCGGCCTGCGCGGGAGTCGAGGGTTACGCGCTGCCATGGCCGCGTGCGTCATCCCGGCCCTCTGACGGGAGCGGGACGGGGCCCAATCAGCGGCAGCCCGCCCGGCAGCCCTCAGCAGGGACTGCTCCCACCTCTCTCCCCAAACCCTCTCCCCAGCCTGGTCCCTGCCGGCTGCTGGCAGGCCCCGCCGTTCATCCCTCACCTCCACATTCCCCATTCCCCATCCTGAGGAACCAAGCACTGGGACAACTGGGATTGGCGCAATGCTGCCAGGGGCTGCGTCCAAGGTGCCCCCTGTCCCAGGCGGCACACCAAGCCCCCACTCTCTACAGCCCCATCAACCCCTCCTGGAGCCGGCACTGCTGCACAAGACCAAAGCCATGGCCGTGCCCAGAAGGGCTGAGCATCACCTCCCTCATCCCCCACATCCCCACGCTGCTCCAGAGGAGAACAAGCAGAAGCCGGGTCTCCTTCTGTGGCCCCCGGCCTGGCCATGTCCCCACCTGGCAGCCGAGCATCCCCTGCAGCTGAGCGGCCCCAGCAGAGCAAACCCCCAGCAGGCAGAGAGCAGCCACCAGCCTCCGCTGCCTGGGCACGGCTGCGGTGGAGGAACGGCAGATGGGGCAGCCCTGAGCCCTCGGGCCCTGCAGAAAACCACGGCTCATCTCATGGGCCAGGAAGCGCAAGCACAGGCAGGCCAGGTCACTTGTTCCAAGTCACCAGCTCCGGTGACACGAGTCCCAGCCCCTCCGGCACCCCATGCCCGAGGCAGAGTCGCATCCGCCTCCCCCTGCACCGCCTGGAAACAGAGCCCTGGGCTCCAGCTGCTCCAGCCCCACTCCAGGGGAGAGCCGGCTGCAGGGGCACAACCGAGGGCAGGGGGGCCGTGGGGAGGCACAGATGGACGTGGCAGGCATTCTCCACGCTCTAGAGTGGGGATCCCGGCCCCACAGGGCCAGGACCCCACATGGCACTCACCCAGCTCC